CATCGCTACTAGGAGCAAGGACGCTACTAGGGGGCTCCTGGCCCTACCACTAGGAACAAGAAGCTACCAGGAACAAAGGGCATCGCTACTAGGAGCAAGGACGCTACTAGGGGGCTCCTGGCCCTACTACTAGGAACAAGAAGCTACCAGGAACAAAGGGCATCGCTACTAGGAGCAAGGACGCTACTAGCAATTCAATTTTACATTTGATGCGTTTCAATCGCAGGAACCACCAACCTCAGTGCCACTTGCAGCCGCTTTCCGCGATGGTGTCCGATGCACTTCTCCAAGGGACGTCCCTTGGAAATCTCATGTCCACTGTTTCATAGACATGACATTGGCACCCCCCAGTACATCATGTCAAAGCACGGTAACTTTGGTGGTGTTGCTTTTTGCACTGCAGGTGTGGATTGAGAAGCTTTTGGAACCTTATGCCTGCAACGCCGAGTTTGTCGTCCACGTGGCAAGCCTTTGTGCCATGCCAGAATTGGCTCCAAAGAAGCCACAGGAAGAGCAAGGCATCAATTGCCAAGAACAGACGACGAAAATCCAGCAATGAAAAAACATACATTGGAGTTGAAATCTTCAAAAACTGGAATGAGAAATCCTTCACAAGAAGTGTCAGGTTCTAGTGGTTGGAGCAGGATTGCAATTGAGCTGAGTCTTTTCCCGAATGCGTAGCGAAGGGTTCTCGTTTAACTCTTGGGGGTCTGGGGGTAGAGCCTTGTTCGTGACCCGTTGTTTCTAAGTTCGCAACCGTCCGCAACCGTTCGCAACCGTTCGCAGTAGAGCGCTAAGGCGCTGCCATTGGGGGAAGCTTTTGCAAGTGACTTTTCATGGATGTGTCACGTGTCAGTTTGCGACGCTATTCCATTGTGATTTGCATGAAAATGACATGTCTCGCAAGGAGCGTCATGCATTTCGCTGCACAGGCGCAGCGTTTTGTGACATCTGCAGTTTGCTACGCAGTTCCATTGGGATTAGCGTTTGGAGAGTCGTGTTTTTGGGGTGTTGGATGTGGCCGTGCCATTGGGATTTGCGTTTCAGGGTGTGGCATCGAAGCTCTGTTTTCGTGACCATTCTCACCTAAAATGGCGACTTTGGTGGATCAGAACGGGTCGAAATCATTCCAAACGTGTGGTGTGGTGCAAATTTTGTTGAAGCTGACATGAGATGATAGGCGCAGTACTTTGTGTGGGTTGCGGTTCTCGTGGCAGGCGCAGGGAATGGTGAGGTTGCGAGGTGTGACGGAGGTGACATTTCGTGGCAGGCGCAGTACTTTGTGCGCGTTGGATGCGGAAAGATTCGTGGCAGGCGCAGGGAATTGTGAGGTCGTGAGTTGTGGTAGAGGTGATGGCGTGTGAACGGGTGTTGTTTGGAGGGGCTGGACTCGCGAAACTGCTTGGCAGGCTGCGTGATGTGTGTGCTCCGATGGGTGTTTCCGCTTGACTTTTGGAGGAAGTCTCGTACGACATGCTCGTTTTGCAGACTTTGACATGTGAGTTTTGGAGAAAGTCTTGTACGAAACGCTTGTTTTGGAGACTTGACACGTGACTTTTGGAGGAAGTCTCGTACGAAACGCTCGTTTTGGAGACTTGACATGTGTTTGGAGACTTGATGTGTGACTTTTGGAGGAAGTCTCGTACGAAGACTGTCCCACAAGAGTGTCCTACAAGAGTGGCCCGCAAGAGTGTCCCACAAGAATATCCCACAAGAGCGTCAAAGAGTGGCCCGTATGAGTGTCCCACAAGAGTGTCCCGCAACTGTGTCCCACCAAGAGTGTCCCACAAGAGTGTCCCGCAACAGTGTCCCACAAGAGCGTCTCACAAGAGTGCCCCACAAGAGTTTCCCATAAGAGTGACCACAAGAGTGTCCTACAAGAGTGTGCGACAAGAGTGTCCCGCAAGAGTGTCCTACTAGAGGGTCCCACAAGAGTGTCCCACAAGAGTGTCCTATAAGAGTGTCCCTCAAGATTGTCCTACAAGAGTGTCCCACAAGAGTTCCTACAAGAGTGTCTCACAGAGTGTCCGACAAGAGTTTCCCATAAGAGTGACCACAAGAGTGTCCTACAAGAGTGTCCCAGAAGACTGTCCCACAAGAGTGTCCCACAAGAGTGTCCCGTAAGAGTGTCCCACAAGAGTTTCCGACAAGAGTGACCCACAAAAGTGTCTGCGTTCGGGTTCGTGGGCTCCATTTTGTTTTGTACATGAAAGGAATTATATGGAGGTTGTCCTGTGGGTGTTCGCGCAAGCAAATTCGCGCGGGGGCGTAGGCTGTGTAGGCAATATTGGGGAATGTCTTTGCATAAGTTCCTTGCGTAGGCATCCCTTTTCATAAGCTTGATTTCTTGAAAGCGTTGCGTCTCATGGTTTTGGTGTTTTGCTAGGACAGAAGCTCAGTTTAGAGGGGTAATGGCACTAAGGAACAACGTCCCGATATTGCACGCATACAAACAAACGATGCAGATAGCGCGTGAAATTGTTGTGGCAAAGTCATTCTTGCCAATAGCGGCGATGATGGAAATAGGATGAAATCACGAAAGCTAGCTGTAGCTAGCTGGAGTCTGTCTTGCTTTAGCAAGGAGGGTGGGAGCCGAGGACCTGAGTGCAGATACCTGATTTATCAGGCTTTAACCCCCCCCTCCCCCGCGGGTTCAACTCCACCCTTCTCCTCAGTACCTGCTGCTGCTTGGTCTCTTGCTGGTTGCTGCTGACATGTTGGGGCATGGGAAGAGTTCGGTGGGGGAAGCGGGGGGTGATGAAGAGTTTGGTGATGTTTGGTGGAAGTATGGCAGTAGTTGAGTTTTCCCTTTGTGCATCTTACATTAACTATACTATTGTCACGTTGCCCCAACTCGTGTCATGGTACGGTTGATGCCATTCATGCGGTTCAGGGTTGCTGCACTTGTTGCAACGCAACACTGCTGCTGCTGCTGCTTTGCTGCTGCTGCCTTTGCTGCTGCTGCTGCTGCTTTGCTGCTGCTTCGTCCCTCCTGCTGATGCTGCTGCTGCTTGGTAGCAGCAGCTCTGTTTGGTAGCTGCTGCTGCTTGGTGGCTGCTGCTGCTGTGGCTGCTGCTTGGTAGCTGATGCTGCTGTTGCTTGGTAGTTGGTGCTGCTGCTGCTTAGTAGCTGCTGGTGCTGCTTGTTAGCAGCTGCTGCTGCTGCTTGATAGCTGGCGCTGCTGTTTGCTAGCTATTCCTGCTGCTGCTTCCGCTGCTGCTTGGTAGTTTCTGCTTGATGCCGCTGCCGCTGCTGGTTACAGTTATGGTTGTTGTGGTTGCTGCTGCAGCGGTTGCTGGAGTGGTTGTGCGTTGTCATGTTTTGGATGTGTTGGGGTCGTATTGGGGGGGGGGGCGCCGTTGGCATTCTCCTTTTCCCTTGGCCATGGCATGTTGCGATTCCTAGCCTGGCTTTTGCTGCCTAAAGAGCCCTAACGTTATTTATTTACCCAGCTTTCGCCACCCCCCTTTGGGCCACAAGTACTTGTTTCTTCGCATAGACACGCTGCCAAACCGACTTCCCTTTTGCGCATTCTACCCCATGTCTTTGTAAAATTATTTTTTGATGATGTTGCTTTGTAACTTGTTGACAAAACATCAAATGAAGTTTTTTGCAGGCGGTAGTAATAATCGTAGGCATCGTAATCGTAGTGGCGGTAGCGATGAGACCGTAAATATAGAAAAATGAAGTTTAATGATAACGTAAGCAAAAATATTGTATCGTATATATATTATGGCATCGTAAATATATATATAATATTTAAATATAAGTAATATCGACAAATTAAAAAACTATATTTAAAATTTAGAAGAATTATTCTTTGATTAAATATAAATAGAAATTAATAATTGTGAAAATTTATATTATATATATATAATTGTGTATTTAATTTATATTTTTGATTTGTTTATATGTTGATTTATATGATAAATTAAATAATTGATTATCGAAATTGTATATTTCGTGTTTGAGCTTAGGACGGGATTTTGGGGATGTTATATTATTTTGATTGTATATGGTCGCGAACAATCGCGATAATTAAATTTGAAATAATTATTATACGACGAACATTTGGAATATTTAAGAATTATCGAAAAAAATTGTTATATTCTTTGACCTAATAAGTAGAATAGAAGTAATTTGTGGAATTATAGTGGGTCGTTTTTTTGGCTCGCTGTCTTTAATTTATGGGATCGAAGAGTTGATTGCGTGATAGGTGATGTCTTCTGATTAATTTGTCGTTTTTGTAGACCGATTCGTTTTGAGTGTCGTTAAGTGTAAGGTGTCTGATTAATATGGATGTATATTGTATTTTCTTTTGGCAATTACGATGAGTTATTTTATTAATTATAAAAAAATTATTTGATTCTTTGGAAGTATTCTTCCCAAAGTAGAAAAGTAGTAAATTAATGCAAAAAGGAAGTCGTTTTTAATTGCTTTTGCTCTGAAATATAATTATAATCAGAGTTATAATTAGCTAAACCCTTATGTACCTGCTTATTATTCTAGGTCAAGCTTCTATTCTGCCTGCTTGCTCCATTTTAATTCTTATTTCGATATTTCGAGCGGTCGCGATTCGAACACGATTTATTTATTGCTTTTGGTAACGGGATTTTTTTATAGGAAACGGTTCCGACGTCGTTGTTGCAATGGCTACGTTACCTTGTCCCGCAATTTTACACAAGACGAATGGTTGCGGTTTCGGTGTTGGTGACCTGAAGTATAATTTCGTTGGCGGAGGTGTGTGATCCTATATATTCGTAAGTTCAAATTTAAGAATAAAAGACGGTTTTGAATATGTTTTTAATATTTGAAGCTCTTTTATGGACCCAATATGAAGATTTACACCTGTATGAGTTGAAGCAGGAGAATGATTTAGAAATCTATCTTTCGGTCCAGAATAAACAATGGACTAATCGATGCTTATATAGATTGTGAAAAATAAAATTGATCTCCCTGAACAAAAATACCGCCCGGATGATATTGAAAAGAATCGGATTGACAAAGGAATATAGATTAATTATTCCGATAAAAATTGATTTTGTGTTGATATTTTTTAGTTGTTGCGGTAAATGAAATATATAAAATGAAACTGTGAATGTCACTCCATGACATGAACCTGCATCAGTGAGGTTGTCTAAGGATTAGTTGTCGATCGTCCGCTGCTTGGGCACGAACCCTTCACTCGCGACCTCCTAAGATGGGAGGGACAGCTTGAGCACCTACTACATTGGCGTGAAAAGCTTCGCGCTGCACTTCGATCTCCAGCGCTGGAACAAGGGCAAACGCTCTGAAGTCCCAGGACCGGATGACGAGGTCTCTGAGGCCCAGCGCGGTGGTAGTCGATCTGCAAGATGGCTGGTGGCCCAAAGGAGCAAATCCAGCTTCTCTCAACAGCCGTGATGAGCCATTGTGCGAACAGATGGCCCGAACAATCTTCTGTGTGAGCCCGCAGATGTCCAAGGCACATTGCCACCCAATGGGCTGGGAATTCAATGGATCACGACGTCACCACAGCACAGCTCAACGACCCCCGGACTCAGCACTTCGGATTAACCACGCCACCCAGTACTCCACACCGCAGGCCATCAATGATGGAGAGAATCGGGACAGGATGTGGGGTCTTGCCGCCTTGCTGGACGCTGGTGGAGATGAATCGACACGGTGTCTGCTTTTG